TACAAGTATTCTGCCAGCTTTTAGATTAATTTTCTGTGTGTTGAAGCCTCGGATTAGGGTCTTATTTATAGGGAATGATTAGGTTTAAGGTTTAGAGCATTCTGCCGCAGCAGGTGTCGCGCGCGGTATATTCGCGCAACTATTTGTCTTGCGCGTATCTCTATGGTAAGATTCGATTTTCCACTCTATGATAAGATTCGATTTTCCATTATTTTAATATTCTGAATCTTACGCGAGCGCATCTCTGAAAGTAGCGCGGCCTGCCGCGCGCAACTTAATAAGTAGCGCGCGACTTTGTGAGATGCGCGCGATATTTTCCGCGGCAACTTTTATTTTAACCTAGGCGCTCCTAAATCCGTCTTTATTGGGTTTTAATCATGGGCTTAAGCCTAATTATGATCGGGTTTAGTTAATTTGGACCTTGTGTTGGTCGTTGTTCTTTTATCTAGGATAGTCTTTTGTGTTTTGTGGCTTAAGCTGTTATCCATAAGCGTTCTTTACTTTGATCCAACACGAAGATGGTTTTATTTATCGTCACTGCACTTCCTGTCGGGACAGGAGGCTAAAAGTAGATGTCTACATAGACAAGCGCAACTCAGAACGATGCGCGCGCCTGGCCAGCGCGACCTACTGAGTTGCGCGCAGGTATTGGTCATTAAAATAACCAGTATCCAGATTTTGATCCGTTTGATCATTTTTCAATGGTTTTTACTCGTTATTAGACGTAATGGCGCGCAAATTATCAAAATATTTTAATTGCTTTGCATTTTGTAGTTTATTTTCTTCTTTGTTAGTTTTTTGCATCATTGTGCATGCACACCATGCTTTGTGCCTTCCCTAAGCATACGTTTTGAACGTTTTTCGTAAATGTGTCTTAAGACGTTCTGTAGTGGTGCTTTACGTAAAAGCTCTCAGACAGGTTTGTTATTTTACTGTACTGACGTTATAAATGTCCGGCTTTTCTTCTTTTTTCACGTCCAAAGAAAAAAGGAAGGTGTCATCATGCAGCGTAAAAATGTAAGGCGTATCGTACAGCGTAAAATTGTACGGCGTAGGTGTTGCGTAAAATTTCACTTCAGCCCAAGCTTTGCGAGATCTACCTCTCGGAACTAAAAGATAGAGAATTACTTTACTTTAGGTGTTAGCTCATGAGTAGACGGGCGCGCCGAACCATCAGGAACAGAAACTTCTTGATTGGAAGAAAATACGGTAGTTAGTAAGCTTATTGGCTTACCGGACAGTTAGGGTGTCCGTCCACCCCCTATATAAAGAGCGACGAGACGATGTCGCACCCATGTAGTAACGTGCCCTCAGTCTTGAGACACGTGTACTCATCTTATGGTCAAAACTGCTGAGAGAGTTGCTGACTTTCTTCTCTCTCACTGGATTTGGATATGTGCCTCTAGTCCTCAGACATGTATTTCTATCTTGTGGAAATTCGGTTCGAATATCGATAAGGCTCGAATGCCAAAACACTTAGGCTCGAATGCCGAAAACCCCCTTTTTCATCTTTTTACTTTGTTAAAGTCATGCTAAAGTTTTAATGACATATCGAGGGACTTTAGACCAACGATGACATGATAGAGAGGAAATCACCCCCCCCCCTTACTCTCTTTAAACCGATCTCTTCTCATGATTTTAAATCACCCAGAACACCTTTACTTGTAACAGAGTTCTACAAAAGAAAAGGATCAATCCAGATTCTTTAGCGAGTTAAGAGAAATAGGTTTTTTTGCCTTTATAGCTACTTGTTTCATACACTTAGCGAATCAAGGATCGTTTCTACATCCTTAGCATTTCTGAAAGATTCTCTACTCTTTGAGAATTTCGCAGAATGAGTCTCGGATTTATTTCCTTGACTACTTTGATCATCGTCTATTCTAGACTCGATCAAAGTGGGGGCTAACTGTAGACACCTACTTTTGGCCTCCTTTCCAGACAGGAAGTGCAATGACGATAAATAAAACCATCTTCATGTTGGATCAAAGTGAAGAATTCTTATGGATAATTGGTTAAACCACAAAACACGAAAGACTAGCCCAAACCAAGAAATAAAGCTAAATAAAGTCCAATTAATTAAATCCGATCATAATTAGGCTTAAGCCCATACTTAAAACCCAATAATGACGGATTTAGGATAATTATCTATCCCTACACCCTAGGGCAGGGATCTCTACCTACACTCCCATCAAAATGCTACATTTTACCCAATTACCTTCACACTGTACAAAACCTCTATTTGCATTTTCTCTCTCCTCACTCATTTCTCAGCCATTTTCTCTCTTCTCACTCATCTCTCAACCATTTTCTCTCTCATCAAAAACTTTAATGACAAAATTAGTACAAAAAATTGTTCAATCACTTCGAAATTCAACAAAACAAAGGCAAAATTCTAAAAGAGTAAGCTATTTTCTTCAAGTTTGGAATAAAAAAGAGTATAAACTCCAGGTTTTACTAAATTTTTTGTTGCGATTGTATTTCGGGAACATAGTTGAAATATCAACCATGGAAATGGTATCAACGTAAGTATAATACTATATTTTTGGTAGTTTTTGTTCTAAAACTAGTTAATTAAACCAATACATTCTTTGTATTTTATTTTTTATTTTATTTTTATTTGTAGAATGAAGGAAACACTTTCAGAGAAAAAAAATAATTCTGGAGGAATATAAGTATTAACAAATTTGGTTGGTTGTTTTTTTCATTATTTATTTATTTTTTTTTTAATTTTTTTTTATGCATGTTCATTTTCATTTTGATAAATATTCATTTATATATTAGGATACTGTCATATCATAATATATTGAAAAAATTTTATTTTTATTTTGGTAGATATTCAATCACATAATAGTATATGGTCATTCACATATTAACACACGATTATTAAAATTTTGATAAATGTTTAAATATTTCAGGTTCATTTTGATTCTTTTCTCATATGAATATATAGTCAATCATATACTGATAGCTTCAATTGTGTTTATTGACGTATTTTTTATGTATGTGTTCAACCATAATTATCTTTTATGGTCATTTTCAAACTAATACGAAGTATATGTTCATTTATATATTAATAAATGTTCATATTCGTAAATATATTCATTAATGTATTAATAGTTGTTCATTTTCATATTAATAGTTAATCATTTTCACATTAATACATGTTCATTCATATATTAATACATATCCATTTGTATACTGAACGATCATGTCAATTTTCATACTTATCCATGTTTATATTCATATGAAAATTAGTTCATTTCAACCTTTATTCTTGCTCAAATTTAATATAGTATTTTATTTTAATTAAATAAGACTTGTGCATATAGTGTGTTAGACCGCACAATAGCAAGGAAAGAAGATGATAAAAAGAAGAGAACCACAAAGACATGGAGTTGCGCAACATGAATTAATGACACAAGATTGAATTTATCGAATTTGGATTAAGAAGTTTATTCACTTTATTGTGTTTGATATATAATATATGTAGAATTGTATTGTACTCTTAGTTTAATATTCAATTATTCAATTTTTGGTGGCACTACTATAAATGAACTTTATTAAGAAGGAAATGAACTTTTTCTTTGTCCTTGAGTACTACTATAAATAGTTATCTAGAAACACAAATACAAAACTAAAGTAATTTTAATATTTCATGTTGTATTAGCATAATTGAGCATTTAATAATTATAATACAGAAATGAACATTTAATAATACAAAAGTGAACATTTTACAGTGATGAAAATGAACATTTTATAGGCAATTCACAACGGAAAAAACAACCAAGATGACGTCATTAAGAAGGAGTGGGGGTGTAGGCATCTCTACCTACTTCGGGGTGTAGGCAAAAATTTTCAGATTTAGGAGCGCCTAGGTTAAAGTAAGCACTGCCGCAAAAAATAACACGCGCATCTCAAGGAGTCGCGCTAGGCTGGCGCTCGCAACTAATTCAGTTGCGCGTGACACTCGGCGCAACCTCGTTATAGATTCAGAATTTCAGAAAATTGGAAAATCAAATCTTGCCATAAAGCCGCGCGCAAGACAATTAGCTACGCTGCCAACAGCAGCGCAGCTCAATCACTTGCGCTGGGTGGCCACGCGCAACTAATCCAGTTGCGTGCGACACTTGCTGCAGCAGAATGTTCAAAACCCTAAACCTACTCTTTCCCTATAGGAGACTTAATCCGAGGCTTAAACAGACAGAAATTAACCCTAAGCTTTGGCGAAAAACTTGTGAACTTGTGCTACCTAACCCCTCTTTTCCTAAACACTCACCCCTTTTGATATTTTGTTACTACGGTGGAGGTTTCCCAACAAGAAGGAATCCTTATGTGTTCTAAACAGAGATCTAGCAAAAAGAAGTGGTAAATTCCCGAGCACTTAGATACATCATTTTTATTTTCTTGTTTAAAAGAACTTTAATTAATTAATTAGTTTTGCTTGATCACTTTAAAAGGTTTAATTAATCAATTCCACATAGTATCTTGCGTTAAATAAGATTAGAATTGAATAATTAATTGTTGGTTGAGCACTTAAGCCAAGGCGAATATTGTTTATTTCTTGTCATATTCACGAATTTAATTAAATAAAGAATAACAAAGTTGCAATGTAATTCATACGTGAATTAATGTGTGTAAATAAAATCAACTAACTTAGTTTTAGGTATCGTGTTGCATATATTGTTTGGTGATGAAATTGTAAAAAAGGAAGAGCTAGTAGAGGTCGTACTAGGGCTAGGATAGCGATTCCCCCCTAAAGGGAACGTTATTTTAGTACCCTCACTCCCGAACTCATTTCTGGTTTATGTAGACCAATTTGAGCATGGGTGAACTTACGATTCGTGCTAATTATTCTATGAACTCCACATGGAAGAAAGGCATGAACGAGATTTATGAGTTTTCCCAAAACTCATTGGCGACTCCTACTGGTTTCTTAAAAAAAAGCGTGATGATAGAATTAATTCTAATTCAAGGTCCCCCAAACAGTTAGGAATTCAAATCCTACTACACCTTAACAAGTGTAAAGTCCTAGGCTTTTAAATGGCCATGGGCATCTAAGGAAGGACCCCCTTACGATGGGATCTCCCTCCTTACAGATAGCACCTAACATGTCTGAATCAATTCCACCAGCATTATTAGAATTTCCACAAGAAACAAGAGGTGAATCAGATGTCTCTTGATTTGTATGAACATTTGCAGCCATCCTTTGTCGACCAGACTGCATACTAGACACCGTAGAACCCTTAATTGCATTATACCAATTAGGATACCCATGTATCTTGAAATAAGTATCAGCAGTGTCTCCCTTCTCCTTACAATGATCACACTTCTTACTGTATTTTTCTTTCTTCCAATCTTTCTTTTATCCAAAAGTATTTTGTCCAGAACTTCCTTGACCACCAAAATTATTTTGTTCAGACCTATGTAAACCATTTCTAGCCATCCTTTGTGCATCCATAGCACTACTCTCAGCAATGTGTTCAGTAGAACCACTAACTTCCTTCTATTTCTCAATCTGTTGAGTAATTGAGAAAGCACGATTGATTATAGGTAAAGGATCCATGGATAGAATATTAGTTATAGTTGAATCATAACCACTATAAGTCCAAGAAGAAACTACATCAATCGATCCTCTCCTTCAAGATCAGTCAATTTCTTAAGAAATTGACAAGTACAACTATTAAGAGCTCCACAACTACAAGTAGGAAAGGCTCTCGAACTCTGTAATTCATCCCACAATTTCTTGATTTTGCCATAATAAGCAATGATACTCAGATTTTTTTGTTTTAAAGCATCAATTTCCTTCTTCAATTGATATATCAGAGGTCCATTAGACTGACCAAATCGCTCATGCAATTCTTTCCATTGTTCAGATGAAGACTCAATGTAAGAAAAATCATCAGCTAATTCAACACTCATTCAACTCAAAATCCAACTAACACCACATAATCTGCTCTTTTCCATCTCTGATAATCACTATGAGAAATATCATGTTCCCTTAAAGATCCAGTAATGAATTCATCCTTATTCTTAGCAACTAATGCTCGCCTAACACTTCTACTCCATCTAATAAAGTTTTTACCAGAAAATTGAACCGCAACCAAAGACGAAGTACGATATCAGAATTAGCAATAAAAAGAGGATCAAGATTACCTAAATTCTACTGACCTCCATTGTTATCGCCAAAAACTCCTCCAGACGCCATTAAAAGAACTTCAAACTCCAAAAACCAATCGCAGTTCCAGAAAAAAAATGAAGACGATTGCAACAAATTGCCAAAAAAATAAAACTGAGCTAAATCCAAGAAATTCAAGATATGCAAGAAGTTTCAACAATCGGAAGAAATTCCCAATCGAATTTCGGAAATCAAACAAAACTGGAAGTGAAACAGAGTAATCAAATCCAGAAAATACAATTGCGTAGAACCCTAATCTTCGATGAGATTACAACTCTGATACCATATAGAAATGTAGAGTGACAAACGAAGAAGAAGTATGAGAGAATAAGATGAGGATATTTCATTCAAAGTAAATTGTAGAGAAATGAATTGTACAATGTACTAAATGAAGACTAAGCCTATTTATACAATAGTTAGTGTAACTAACTCTCTGACAATATAATAACAATATATAATATCTTATAAATATAAGAGAAAATTATGAGAAAGGACCTTTTAAGTGGTCGATTTTTTGAAAAAGGACCTTTTAAGTTAAAATTTGTGAAAAAGGACCTTTTAAGTTGCATTTTGTTTGTAGAGGTTATTTGGGTGTTCTTGCATGGTGGGCTCCGGCGTTGACTATCACGTGACTTATTATTATTTATAAAAACAAAAAATCCCCAAATTTCCCTCTTTCCCGACCTAACCCTTTCATGTTCCTCGGGAAAGAGGAAATTTTGGGTTTTTTGTTTTTTTTTTTTATTTTTTTTTATAATAATAAGTCACGTGATAGTAAACGCCGGAGCTCCGATATTGACCACTACGCAAGAGCTCCCAAGTACCCTCTACAAACAAAATGCAACTTAAAAGGTCCTTTTTCACAAATTTTAACTTAAAAGGTCATTTTTCAAAAAGTCGACTACTTAAAAGGTCCTTTCTCACAATTTTCTCTAAATATAATATATTGTGACGGAAAAACCGTAATATCTATCACATTATAGCTATATAGTGTAACTCCACACATTGAAGCATGGGGAGAGAAACCTAAAACATAATGTTGTTTATCTATTAGCAAATAAAAGACTAAATAAAATAGTTTGCGCTACATGTTTGGTGTAGATCAAACTACGTACCACACTAAATAAAATTATATAAATATTTACATGTAGCAATATATATTATTTCTCTTTAGAGCAAGAGTTGTGGTGATGTAACCCAATTTCCAATTAATTCCATTGGTAGATTGTTTTGAATCATATCACCACCTTCTATTCCCATAATTTGTCCACCACCTACTATGTCGTATGGCATAACATATTGTATATGAGTGCTGCTTTCTGCTACATAATCTCCTGCTTTTAATTTAAGAAAATAAGAAAAAAGAAAATCCATAAGATGAGAATAACACTAAGATTACAAGTCTAATGTTAAACTATAAAAAACATACCTTAGGTATAACTTGAATTATGATTTAGTGAAATTGTTTAATGCTTTTTGTTGCTTTTAATCATGTGAGCTGAGTGTAGGGGACTAGGGGTGGTATTGAATAGGAATATACAATTTTGTAATAATTGAGACAAAATTAAGAAATATTGTATGTATGACTGTGTAATAAAAATCTCGGAAATATACAAGTTTACAAGTCTAGACATCCTTTGTTCAATACATGCGATTTTCTAAAGAGGTCTACTTTTTATCAACTTTATTAATATACTCATTTTTTTTAAATGAGTTAACTTAACACTAAATTATTATATTTATATATTAAGATTTTACGATATAATGAAGATTTATATACAAGTTTACGCGTTATGTGTTTATATTAGCATAATTCTTAAAAATTGTAGTAGAGCCTAGATAAAAAATTGCTCACCTTGAGAAAGCTGCAAAGACTCATTGACTGGTCTGTCCACTTCTTGCAAGGAAGCCCAATTTTTATACGCGTTCTTCACCAACTGATCTATTGTCTCATTCTGAAAATGTCAAACAATGTATTAATTAAAATTGAAATTAGAACATCCTATTAATATTCTCTTAATAGTGTTCTTAAAATCTTAGTACTTAGTATTTGTACTAATCACAAGCAGCATACACAAAAATATTAATTCAATAAGAAATTTGCATTTTTATTTTTATTTTATTTTTGAAAGATTTAAAAAAAATAGTACTCCGTAGTAAATAAAAAAATTAGAATGACAAATATTCATACCTTAATATAGGATCTGAAATCTGAATTGGAGTATAATTCCCCATCAATGTTGTGTATGCTAAAAATATTACAAGTAGCATCCAAAGTGATTGTAAAATTTGATCCTTGACAAATGTAAAGTTTGTTGCCAACGTTGCACGTTTTTGCATGCTTCAATATTGAATCCCACATTCTATCTGGAATTCCTGCTTTCCCTCGTTTCCCACCTAGTATCTGTACCATATCACATAATTAAATTCATTATTAGCCTTTGTCTTTGGAAAATTTACATTACATCGTATTTGTCGTTCTTCCGTAACTAGTTGTCACATTATTTAATTGTATTACTATCGTGACTATTAAATTTGAAGGGCTAATGGGCTATAGTGTTTCACGAAGAGAGTTATTACCTTCTTGAGCTTGATTGAGTCGATAGCAGATAGTTTTAAGAAATCTTGCACACTTTTAATGCCGGCTAGTTCAAGTCTTTTGTGGAATTTCCCATCTTTGCCAATCTTCTCTAGACGCCATACTTCATCTTCAAGCATTGGTGGATAATGCTTCTTGTATACTGCAGTTAAAAAATTTCACAAATTATTATTTAAAAAAATTTATATCAATTATATTTTCCATTGATAAAAGTCATAAAGTTATAGTGCAAGCAATATTAATACGAGTATATTATATCTAAAAATTTATGTAGGAGCATAATGAGTTTAAATTAATACGTAGTAATTACTTTAATAATTTGCTTTATGAAATTATTTTTATTGTTCAATATAATTCTTATTTATATACTTAAATAGGTTTCATGTGTTAATCAATTAACGTATACTAAAAGCGAACCCAAAGTGACACTTGTCAAGATGTCATTAAAAAATTTCCCGCTTTTTTTTTTCTTTCTTTATTTTTATTTTGCCAAATTTGAATGACTTCCAATAACCTACAATAATACTTATTTTCATTTTTCCAACACATTTAATCAAATCATACTCAACTAATTTTTTTTTTATTATTTTTTAACATATATTTTATATACTTGGAATCTTTTAGTTACAAATATAGTAGCATAGATTAAAATTAAGGCATTGAAATACTTCGTACATCATTATCCAAGATTATTAAAATATTATCAATTTTTTTCCTCTAACTTAAAATTTATTTTAATTAAAAATAGAAAAAAAATATTTGGTAGCATACTTTGTATAGATCTTAAAAATTATGCATAACATTTATAAGAACAACCAAACAAAATTATTTTATTATATAATACTCTTCCTTTTTTTATATGTTATAATTCAATTTGCACATTTGTCGAGACATAACTTTAACCATCAATATCCTTAATTAAAGACTATTATTTTGTTACAAATATTTTTTTTGGTAAATTATTGTTAAATTAACATCATTCTTTATAATTTTTGTTATAAAATTTAATTATTACCGTGCATGGCACAAGACTTAACCTAGTACTAGCATAATTCTACATAAATTAAAACAAAACAGATAATTATAATTATAATTAATCTATTAACTATTACTCCGTATTATAACAAAACATTGTTGGCATCATCAATTATGAAACAATCTTATGTGCCATTCTCACATTAAATTTTTTTTCCTTCAATTTTATGTATGATGTCATAAATTATTAATGATTATTTTTTAATTTTTAATCTATACTTTTGACTTTATTGCATAAATGTCTATATAAATTCAATTAACCAAGTTTCTCTCATAAATTATAGTTTCACATACTTAATTTGTTTTATATTTGATTGTGATTACAATTTTATTTACTTTCCTTAAATATAAGTAAATTATTTATATATTTAATTCTATTCTTCATATACAATATAAAGCAACTTAATATAAATTATAAAAAAGGTTATTTTTAAAAGTACATGGCACGGGGATAACCTAGTAAATTAACAAAACAAAGTAGGATTTTCTTCTCCAATACAACGAACACTATACGATTTTTTTACCAGGGAGCAACAACCTATTCATCGCGGGGTCTATTCATTAAAGTGATAAGACTTTGTTTATAAAGTAGAATGGCAAGAACCACACAAAATAATACATACGTTCATCTAAGAAGTGTTCACTAAATATTTTATTAGGTCAACGACGACTACTAAGTACAAGTATATTAGTCTTTCGAAAGATGCCAAACATAAAGAGCATCATTCTCATCAAAAGCACTAGTCCTTTTCACCAAACCTTGAGTGATAGATGTGAATTATTCATATGTTCATACACATTATCTCTTTAGATCCAATAATTTTGCTCCAACTAATCTTGTTTATAATTATCATCTACTTAGCTTTTTATAGCTTTATCTTAAATAATCACATAATACCTTTTTAAACAATGGCCAATTTTTTATGCTTCATCAACCTTTTAAATTATACCAAATTGGGTATAAAATAAACAAATGGTCAATTATACATAAGAAAAAAAAAATTAGATATTTTTTTGTTGAATTATTATCATGCAATTATGTAATATTAATTTTTTATAATATTATTGATAAATGTACTTAAATTAAAGTTCCACATTAACAAAAATAAAAGAAAGATATATTAAGAACATTATGAACAATGTTTTTGGTGTTTAGAGAGGGAAATTCCAACAAAACTTGTTTCTCGTGGGGCATTTTTGTGAATAAATCAACAATTTTTTTTTATTATTGTAGGCTCTACAATTGAATAAAGTTGTTGGTTTATTTACAAAATTGTCATGAGTCATTTGGAGAGCCACAGGGGCGAATGATGAGTATTGATCCCAAAATCTTTTGGAAGCGAGAAGGAATTAAAACTCTAATCACTTGAGCTAGCTTTCACTCTCACAATATGCACAAAGGAAGTATTATATGTAATACTCAGTAAACAAACATTTACCAAAAAAAAAAAAAAAAACATGTGAACAACCAAATATATATATTAAAAAAACAAATAATAAGTAAATAAAAAAAAAAATTAAAAATGTATGTTCAAACAAAGAAAGAACAAAAAGTGAACTAACCTTCTCCACGTTGGTCTTTGACAATGAAAGCCTCAGTTAAAGCTTCAAGAATTCTACCATCACTTGAGGTTCCAGGAACCACTCTTGCACCAAGTTTGAATTTCCTACTTCGAATCCAGCTAGAGTTGTCCGTAAACTCGATTTCGCCTAGCGTTACACAATACCCATGTTTTATAGTGTAATGCACATCTTTGGCAATGAGTGGACGTCGTCCTGATCTTTCCTTAACGATTTTTCCATTAAACTCATCGACGGTCCATATATCACGATCCGTAGACGGGAAATCTCCGTCGATCACTACAATTTCAACCTTGATAGGGTGTTGTGGAACCTTTCGTATGATTTGGTCACCTATCTTTTCAACTAGCATGAGATTGAGAGAGTCTCCATTAATGTCTGTGATTTTGTTGCATGTAAATATTGTTGGCAAATCTTTATTTACAAACATTAATTGCATGCATGCTGGTTCTGGTGCTTGTATTCTAAACGATGGAACCCTAGTCATGGTACGCATGGTTCTTTGAATGCCACGTTCAACTTCTTCATTAACCTATTTAAAATTAAATCAGTCAAAAATCAGCATAAATTTAATCAGATCAATGATATAAAAATACAAATACATGAGGCAATAATAATGTTTGGGAATTTTTAAGCTATTGCCACTACAAGTGGTTATTTTGTACAAAACTAATAATAAAATTCTTTTTTGTATTAAAAAAAGTATAGTGGGTTTAAACTAATCAAAATTTAGATGCTAGTTTCATAGATAAGATAAAAATAAATAAATAAAAAATAAATTGGTATTACATTATTAGAACAAATTAACCGGCATCTAAAATCTAGACTTTTGATTTGCAAGGATAGAAAGTAATATAGTAAAAAACATAAAAATTCTTAGATATAGAATGATTACTTGTTACAGAAAAATATAACTAATTATTTGTACCGAGTACTAGCTAGCTTAAGTGATACAAAATATTTACGGAGAAACTAAGGGTCTGTTATAATTGATTAAACTAAACTGAACTAAATTAAACTGAACTGAACTTAACTTAACTTATTGAAGCTGAACTTAACTTATTGGAGCTGAATTAAATTGAACTGAATATTTTATGAGAGAAGAAAATTGAGAACGAAACTGAACTGAAATTGTTGAAGCTAAACTGAAATAAATTGAATTTAACTAAATCAAAAATAATCTGAAGAGAACAGACCCTAAGATCATATATGACTATATGAGGGAAAACAATTATATCTGGCTTTTGTTACTACTCAGTCAAGCCACGAAGTATCACTAAAATTTATCTCAATTAATATTTTTTATTATAAACTACAGTAAAAATACATAAATCAACTTTTTAAATTTCAGGACTTCAATAATACAAAAACCTTGTCAAAAAAAATTAAAATTAAAAAGATATTTTTGCTCCTGCAATAATTATTGTACGGAAGAATATTGAGTGGACCAGTTTAAAAGCCATACCACTCGTCTAAGCAATGGTTCAAATGAATTCACGAACGATTGCAAAGACTTGGCCATCATTACTTCTCCAATTACACTGCAAAATCAACAACATAGTACTTTAAATTAAGTTAATTGAAATTTTCAAAAAATTAATGATAAGATTTTCCAAATTAATTAAGATTAATTTTAATAAAAATAGTTAAGTTAAAAAAAAATTAGTTGATTAGGTTAGAAAATTAACTAATTTTTATAAAATTAACTAATTTTTAGAAAATAAAAAATAGAACAAATAATGTAAATTAAACTCAAAAAGTGTTTTGTTTTTAAGGGAAATTTGAAAAATACTTTGTTCATGTTAATTTTAACAAATATAAACTTTTACAAATAAAACAAGTTTACAAGAATTATTGAGACTAATTAATTATTTAAATTCATTTGAAAAAAAAACAACAACAACAACAAAATGACGTACGATGCAAAAGAAGGCATGGATTTCATTCTTTTTTCTTTTGGTTGATCATCGCTTTCGATATCAGGAGCAATGCGTTTGGCAGCCATTTGAACACGAAAGAAAACTGAAATTTAAATTAATTGTAAACCAAGATTTGGAAAGAGATTATATGTGAATCTAAGTTTAGTTTGTCGATAGATTTTGTAGTTTAAATGTTCTAAATTTAATTGAAAGGGTATTGCGGTTTTATAGAGGTAAAGGACATGATATAAGTGGGATACAAAGTCAGTCAACTGATATATAAGTAGAAGTCTTTTAATTTATAATAGAAAATGAAGTTTCGTGGTTGGTGTTGGGAAGTAACCGAGTAGAATCCCTCTTTAGATGACTTAAACAATGGTGACGCAATGAAAAAAAAAAAAAAAAAAAAAGGAAGCAATTCATTACGTGTTGTTTATTGGTTTAGTCTTTGTAGTAGTAAATGAACCTTTTCTACCAAAAATGATAAGGGTTTGCAATTTTGCATTATCACCAACTAAAAGGTGTAGAATTAAGCTTCTCTACTCGTCTAAAAAAAGAAAATCTAGTCTTCTCTAATAAAAATTATGTGGAGATTGTCAGGAGGTTAGTTTTCTCGAATTTTAAAAGGTTTTGGTTCAAATCTTACATTTATGAGGGTGCTTGTAGGAAATATATTTGTATGGACCCAATTTACAATAATTATATCGTAGATTTCTATATACATGTATCAGCCAATAATGTGTTGAAAATAGTAACCTTAAGTATAATGTGGACATGGTTTACAATAATATTATTGCAAACTTGAGGCACATATGTGTCAACTGATATTATGTTGAATATAGTGATATTAATCTTAATATAGTGATCTTTATTAGTCATACTAATCAGTCAATATATATTAATACTCTTCTAATAAAAGTATATTAATCTATTATGACCTTAATTGTAACAAAAAGTTTTTTTTAATTTTACATAATAATATTTTGACATATTGACTTTTTCACTAATATAACGACCTTTACTTTAGAATATCAAAATTTAAATGATAGTATAGTTACCTTAATGTTAGTGACACAATAAATTGATGTGAACCAGATCTATCTAAGAGTGTAATAAAATCTTGTTTGTACTCACTGTAGAGAAGGCATCTACTTAAACCATCTAGTTAGTCCACAATTACTAAAACAAAAACATTAAAATAAAAATAAAATCTTGAAAATTGAGATTTGATAAGGATCCATCTCTGACTGGACATGTAAGAAAATACAGTAATAATAATAATAATGGTCCAAATGGAGTGAAGAATAGATCAAGTGGTTAGATTTCCCTTCTGATTTCAAGATATCTAGAGATTGATTCTCACTCTACCCTTGTAGCTCTTAAAAAAACAGGAAAATTGACAAGAATAATCTCAACTTTGTTCCGTCCGCCCGAAATAATCCCAACTTTCGATTATTTTTTAATAATCCCAACTTTATACATCATCCGCCCAAAATAGTCCCGCGTGACCAGGGACCTATTAAATAGGTAAAAAAAATTTAAAGGTTTTAATGCACACGTGTCATCACGCAATTGGTCAAATTAAAATAAAAAAAAACTAATTGATTAAAAATTAAAAGGTTTCAGGAAAAATAAAAAAAAAATTCAAATAAACCACCACGTCCGTGACATCCCTTTGCACCTCCTAGGCCATCTTCTCCGGCAAGCGCAACCCACTCCCCTTCCCCTAGGGATATCAATTTAATCCGAGTTCGATTCGAATCCAATCCGATCCGAATGAAAAAATTCGATTCGAATCCGTTTAAAATTAGTCGGAATCCGAATCCGATAAAATAGATCCGAATCCGAATAGGAGGTGGATCGGAGTTGGACCCTACGCAAAGTCCAACGGAGTTCGATCCGAGTCCGAATCCGAGAGTATAAGCATATGCTCTATAACTTTGGACAATTATTTTCTTATTTTGTAGCAAAATTTTGTTTTGTAACTTAGTTTATAATTTAAATATGTTATATTTATACTTTAATTGGTATGACAATACTAGCAATTATAGGTATGTGACATTACAAAAAAAAACAATAAAAAAATTATTCGGATCATTTCGGAGGTCCATATAAACGGACCGAATTCGGATCCGAAAATTACGAGTTGGATCGGATTCGGACTCGGATTCGGATCCGAGTCCAGAGTCCGTTTACTAATCGGATCGGATTCAGATTTAGCCACATCCGACCCGAATCCGATCTGTTGACATTCCTAGCCTCCCCTTGACAGCGCCGGACCCAACTACCTACTGTCGGCGTCACCCCTACCCCTATATATCCCCGCCGTCATCCCTTCCCCTTAAATCACCATCCCCTCACCCCTAAAGGCCGAAACCACCATCCCCTCACTTAAAACCCCACGAAACAGCCTTAGAGACCCCTTCCCACGCCCGTCCGTCGCTTCCCCCACCCTCGAAATCGTAGTCATTGGGGTTTTGAGGGTGGGGGAAGGGGCGGTCGGCCGTGGGAAGGGTTTTTAGGCTGTTTTGCGGGGTTTTAGGGTGAGAAATGGTGGTATGGTGGTTTAAGGGAAAAGTGGAGACTGGTCCAGGCGACGTCGGAGGAAGGGTAAGGTGTCTGGGCGGCCGCCACCTAGGAGTTAGGGGTTGGGCCGGCAGTGTCGGTGGCTGGGTTGAACCATTGAAGGCTGGTGGGTTTTATTTTTTTTTGTTTTTTTCTTTTTATTAATTTATTGTTTTTTTTACCTATCATAGAATGACACGTGCTCGTTAACTTGTAATAGCAAGTTAGATGACCGGTTGGGATTATTTTGGGCGGATGGAGTACAAAGTTGGGATTATTAAAAAATAATCGAAAGGTTGAATTATTTTTGACGGGAGCAAAGTTTGGATTATTCTTGTCAATTTTTTTTTTTTTAAAAAAAAAAAAAAGAAACAATCTAATAAAAGTCCAGCAATCGGTGGTTACTTTCGATTATCACGTATGTACTTTACTTTATGTATGGATTTGACATGGTGGTTATGGACGTTATCATGTTATTCTAAACAAGTGAATTTTAATGCACGGATAGATTATGGACCCTTCATTTCTTTTTATTTATATTATTGTTTCAATATAAGTGTGTAGGTTTAAAATGACATGTTAGCATATAATTTAAACCATAAATATATTTAAATATAAGTAAGTTAAATACCATAAATTTTGATAACTCAGTACGTACTTACTTTTAGAGGTGTCAAATTGGGTACCCAGATGGAGTTGGGTTGGCCCACAATGGGTCGGGGAGTTTGGATCGGGTAATGACGGGTCATTTTATCCTAACAAACCAAATCAAGTCGGGTCAAGCTTAATTATATTTGAGTCAAAGGTTGGTCTACGTATGGTCAGCTACAAATCGAATTCGGGTCAAGTAAAATTCGGGTCGAGTCATATCGAGTTTATGTAAGCTCGGAGTCGGATTTAATTGGGTTTATTTGGGTCAAATGGATTTAATAAAGTTTAAATTAGGTAATTTCGGATTCCACTAGGTCTCGATTCAAATCAATTTTGTTTTGATTAGATCTTAATTTGAATCAATCATTTAACTCGTTATTGAGCTATTTTCTATACTAGTATATAAATTATCTTTCACTCTTATATATCAACCCTTTTTAACATGTGTTTTAGAATTTCTCTCTTTTACTAACAATTAAATATAACCCTCATTAACTACACTTTTTATTTAAAATCCCCCTTTTGTCTCCACTATAATCAATAAGTCAATAACTAATTAACTAATAAGCTTTGGGTCAAGTTTAATGGAGTCATGGATAGTTTTAGATCGGGTTGAATAAGGGTCGGGTAAAATGAGGTATTCTCGGGTATAAATGATTTCGGATATATTTTGTTTCGGGTTAAATTGAATCTAGGTCTTGAAGTATCGAATTTTATTGGTTTCAGATAAACAATGAATCGATACCAAGTTGGGTTTGAATTGTATATTAGCGGGTAAAATCGATTTCGAGTTAATTTTGGATTGTTTTTAGATCGGATTTGGATTAAATTATTTTAGGTCTAACCAGTTCGAAAACATTTTGGTTTCAGGTAAACCTTTCGGGTCGGGTAAGTTTTTGACACCCCTACTTACTTTGTAATAATCCTGTAATATACCTTTACTTTATTATTATTTATTTATATATATACACTATATTAATATACGTTCTTAAAAACGTATATGTGCCACTTACCTCGTGGAATGAATACCTCACATCTTGACATCTTAAATAGAAATAATTTATGTTCTATTTATCCACATAAATTCCTAACTTAGAAAAAGTTTAAGAAAGTTGTTATGAATAATGCATGGACATTTATATCTCTAAAAATGTTCTTTTACATATTTGCCCCTATTAAATTTAAAACCTTAAAATTTTCTCTTGAGTTCCCTAAGTAGATTAATTATTTGTGTTTAGTCTCTCCATATATTTGATTTTTTTTTTTGAAAGAACTCCATATATTTGATTTTAGAGTATATAATCTATAGTTTTATATATTAAAAAGCATTTCTAAAATCGTTTATGTGCCATGTCATTCCCCTCTCATAGCATTGTGCCACGTCATCACTGAATGACACGTCATTACCAATTAACAGATCATTACAACTATTATTAAAAAGCTTTTGATGGGTTTCGAACACTAGACCTCAAAGAAATAAGATCTACTTCCTTACTATCTTAGCCAATAACAATTGATGTCATTTATACATATAAATATAATTATAAATGACATGCACCAATTTAAAAGGAAATATGAGATAAGTAGGTTTGAAAAAAAAAAAATCGAAAAAAAAAACCGAAAAAAAAAAAGAGGAATAAAATCAACATTTCAGATAACTCAGTACGTACTTACTTTTAGAGGTGTCAAATTGGGTACCCAGATGGAGTTGGGTAGGCCCACAATGGGTCGGGGAGTTTGGATCGGGTAATGACGGGTCATTTTATCCTAACAAACCAAATCAAGTCGGGTCAAGCTTAATTATATTTGAGTCAAAGGTTGGTCTACGTATGGTCAGCTACAAATCAAATTCGGGTCAAGTAAAATTCGGGTCGAGTCATATCGAGTTTATGTAAGCTCGGAGTCGGATTTAATTGGGTTTATTTGGGTCAAATGGATTTAATAAAGTTTAAATTAGGTAATTTCGGATTCCACTAGGTCTCGATTCAAATCAATTTTGTTTTGATTAGATCTTAATTTGAATCAATCATTTAACTCGTTATTGAGCTATTTTCTATACTAGTATATAAATTATCTTTCACTCTTATATATCAACCCTTTTTAACATGTGTTTTAGAATTTCTCTCTTTTACTAACAATTAAATATAACCCTCATTAACTACACTTTTTATTTAAAA